ACATTAGATAGATTATATAAACTGTAAAATATTAATAATAATTGGATTAATATTATTATTATTAGTTTTAATGATTTCTGCATCGTCAGTCCTTTTTTTCTGCTCTGTTGTCAACATGTACAGTAATGGGAAATCCAGAGTCTTGCCCGTTTAGCGTTAGCCATTAGCTTCTCCAACCAATCACACAGTCACGTGGTTTTTGCGCACTCCAGTTGTATAGAACCTCCTTGGTGGCTTCATCCTTCAGCTAGTTTCTGCCATTTGTGCTTGCTAATACCCAGAGAATTCATAATAAATTACTGTGATACTAAGATTACTCAAACTCGACTTTTTAAACTTTTAAGTTTACAGCAGCACATTTAAAGGATGGTTCAGACCTTTAGAAGTGTGGCTTTTTGAAAAGATTATGAACAGGTAATATCTTACCTGTTGTAGACAGATTTTAAAGGACCTCAGTTAAAAATGTCTGATCAGACTGACAAGTTCATGGCTAGTCAGATCGATGCCAAGACAAAAATCGATCCCTACCATCTTAAAACAACTTTAATTTCAAGCCTTTATGTGCCACAGTTTGTATGAGTCAGACCCAGAAATGCAAACAACTATGGCAGTGCTTAAGATGAAACTTGAAGATTTATTAGAGAAAACAACGAGGAAGAACATAAAACTGATGTGGCAGCAAAAATGACAACAAAAAATTTCAACCATGTTGAACCATGTCTCCGTGTCGAGAAAACACAGAGCGCAGGTGAAGGGAAAACTGGGAGACTACCATAAATAACTGGTTCCATTCAACCAAGATGAGTAAATGTAAAAGATTTTCGTATTTACTCAGCTTGATTGAGTGAATCCAGTTGACATCACTTGATTGAAGGGGGTAACATGCAAAATTGACTTTTTTTAGTTTTATATCATGCTATAATGTCCTTCCCCCATCAAAAACATACCCCGAGTGTTGCTTTAACTCATAGAGAAATCCTTGAATCTCCTGTGATAGCCATGTGGAGCTGCCTTAATGCCTGCTGGTACAAAGCTCTGCCTATTTACACAAAGCTCCTCCCTGGAGCTCAGTTTGCAGCTGAGCTCCCGCCCCACTGAGCACCCCTCCCCCGAAGCGTTGTTGTGAAGACGTGCTGAAGCGGGAGTGTTGGAAACGGTAGGTGATTCCTAAAGAGACAGAGGCCAATTTCAAGGCATTTACCAAGGCCTACCACTGTGAACACGCCATATCTTGTCTGATGTGGGAAGCTAAGCAGTGTAGGTCCTGTTAGTATATGGATGGAAGACCACCTGGGAACACTAAGTGCTAAAAAACCAGTATAGGAGTTATGCCCACACTGGAACATAAACAATAGAAAATCTTTGACCTTAGTAGTTCATACAGTAGGTCACCTTCTACTGGAGGATGACAAGAAGAAGGTAACAGTTACTTGATTGTGGTATAAAATTGAACAATACGCCAGGAAAATATTTAACACCCCACTCCCTTTACCCAACTGACATTAAAGTTTTAATCACTATTGTTTCTAATTGCACTCTTTAAAAACTTGGTTTCTAACACAAATATGTTTGTAATCTTCAGTTACTCACAACAGATATGATGCGTCCCAATCCCGCACTTATGTTGAGAATGGCACAGGGTTTTCAATCCAGTATGCCTCGGGAAATGTCAGGGGATTCCTCAGTGAGGATGTGGTTGTGGTGAGTTTAAAGTCTGGAAGCAATAAATCAAAGCCGTTTCTTTTTTACAATATATGTCTGAAGACACTACACATGTCGTGCTTTATAACTCCTTCGTGTTTGATCCCTGCAGGTTGGTGGTATCCCTGTGGTGCAGGTATTTGCTGAAGCCAACTTTCTGTCAGCCATGCCTTTCATTTTTGCCAAGTTTGATGGTGTGCTGGGGATGGGTTACCCCAATGCGGCCATTGATGGGATTACTCCGGTGTTTGACCACATCATGTCTCAGCACATCCTTAAAGAAGAGGTGTTTTCTATCTACTACAGCAGGTGTGTTTTAGTGATACACTGAGCTTCTACGCCGTATCAGTTTGTGTGCAATCCACCAGAGGGAGAAACATGATACAATCTCAAGAAATTGTCTTTTTTTCTATGTATTGTTTGGATTTTTTTAAGAGGCTACAAATTAGAATTTAATTGATTTGGGACAAAATGTATTTTACAAGAGAACAATTGTTGGAGATAATGTATGTAATTTCACCATCAATTCCAAAATGTTGAGAGGTGTTTTAAAGTAAGTTTAAACTCATACCACTTTTCAGAAGAAAAAAATGTATATTTGATGGCACAACACATTTTTTAAAAAGCTGGAATAAAGTGGCATGATTATGGCCACTTTATTCCATGATTATGGAATAATGATGATGAAACAGCAGGTGGAGGATTTGCAACTAAATAGGTTAATTAGTGACAAATAAATAAGAGGACTGAGTAAATAAAGGAAATTTTAAAATAATGATGAACAAAGGTTCACCAGTCTGTGAAAAACGATGTCTAAAAATAGTGGCTCCATTTCCGAAAAATGAACTTGAGAGTTTTTGTTATCATCTACGGTTCATATTAGCATCAAAGGATTTCAAGAATTTGGAGAAATGTCCCGATGCATCTCAGTAATCCAGGTAGAAAAAAATCAAAAAGAAAAAAAAAAACAAGTAGGTCCTCTGGATGGGTTCTTCTTTAGTGAAACGTTTTGTCTCTCCTCCAAGACACTTCTTCAGTCTGATGAGTTTCAGGTGAGAATTTGGATAAATGTGTGCACGCAAAGAGTTACCCTTCTGCTAGAAAACAGAAAGAAAATGATTTGCAAACTTCTGACACTCGAAGCACTGAGCCTAAAATGCTGAGACACGATGAGGGATAGAGCCCCTGGGCACAGAGCCGTCTAACCCACCCCCCAATCAAACCAGCTGCAGACAATACAGCTGTGTTTTGAAGTCTTGTTATGGTTGCTTTTTGTGTGTTTTACACAGGTTTTCTTCATTTAGTTTTGGTTGGGTGAACCACTTGGTGGCTAAATGGATTTCTTTGTGGTGATTCTGCTGCTCTTTGTAGTCACTTTGTGTCGTTTTGTAGTAGTTTTGTGGATTTTTATAACATGATGTTGTCACTGTGTTGGATTTTAAGATTTTTTGACTTGCTCTAAACCTTATGCGTGTCACTTTGCATGTCTGTAATATCTGTCATTTGGAATCTGTTTTAGGTCAATCACTGTTTACCCCATGCTTAAACAGGAGTCTGTGAGCCTGAGCTACAGTATTTGGCTCTGTCGTGTGTTGCCTGTCGACTCAGTCATTTAACTTTTCGTGGGTTTTCCATGTTTTCAGGGATCCAACACACTCCCCTGGTGGAGAGCTGGTCCTTGGAGGTACAGACCCAAACTACTACACGGGAAACTTTAATTATTTGGAAATCAGAGAAGTAGGAAAGTGGGAAATCACAATGAAAGGGTGAGATCTTTGATTAATGATTCCTAATAGACCAATGAGAAATTGCACGTTTTGTTTTTGTTTTGTTATTGTCATAAATCTCTTTTCTCATTCTGTCAGTGTTTCTGTTGGAGCAGAGATGATGTTTTGTTCAGAGGGCTGCACGGCTGTTATCGATACGGGCTCCTCTTACATCACAGGCCCCGCCTCCTCCATGTCTGTCCTGATGAAAACCATCGGCGCTCAGCTGGATGAAACTGGAGTATGTTTTAAACACAGGCTAACATTTTACTCAAAGAAAAAAAAACACCCTAAAACAAACCTGATCATTGTGCTTTACTTTGTGCTGCTCACCAGTACAAAGTCAGCTGCGATGCAGTGAAGACGCTGCCCATGGTCACTTTTCATTTGGGTGGCCGAGAATATCCACTCACGCATGAGGATTATATCTTATGGGTAAAAAACTGTCTAAATGTCTAAATATTTTCTAGTTTAGTTTCTTTATGCAAACTAGCAGCTTTAACTAATATTACATTAATTTGTTGCAGCAATCACATGTCGAAGGGGATGTCTGCATCGTCACGTTCAGGGGTTTGGATGTTCCACCACCAATGGGTCCCATTTGGATTTTGGGAGCCAACTTCATTGCTCAATACTACACGGAGTTCGATCGTCGCCATAATAGGATAGGATTTGCTTCAGCAGTCTGACATAAAGTCAAACATTATTTATATTTTTGCCTGAATAATTTTGATGCTAACACTCAAATGTTTCCTGCCATCTCTTGGTCCATAGCGCACCATTAGGTGTATTAATGATTAAAAAGCCTTCTTCTTAACTACAGCGATAAAAAGGAAACATGCATTATTTTTTGCTTTTTTTTTTTTTTGTTCTTTGGCAGGATTTCTACTGAACATCTTGTGAACATTTATAACACTAATTTATGTAGGTTTTTCTGCTAATTCATTCTTTCTGTGAGCTGATCTGCCTGATATGAACAATAAAATCTACACCTGCTTCAACTCTTCATAAGGGTAATATTGTAGTTATTAGAGATTTTATTTTGTGTTCATCTCAAAATAGCTGATTCTATCTTTTCCAATTCTATCTGCTAAGTCTATGTTGTGATCAAGATGTGGAAAATCAACACTGAAGTTAAAAGCAGATGCTTTAACAATTTTGACAGCCACACCAGAGGCTGAAAATACTTTTAGGTAAAGAAACTCAGTTTTAAATTATGTAAAAAATTGAGTTAAATGCTTTCTTTAAGGTAAATTGACTCTCTAGAGTAATTTTAGAAATTTAAAATGTACCTAAGCTATTTAGTAAAATCGTAATGTTAAAAAGTGAAAGTTGTCTTTTTACTTGGCAAAATAACACAATCAAGTAAATTACCTTCAGTTATTAAAATGCTGTATAAATCAAAAATAAATTGAACTTTGAATCATAGCCTATTTAAACCTTAAAATTGGCCTCCAGCTTTTTAAGAAGCTCCTACCTTTTCCAACACTCCCACTTCAGCGCGTCTTCACATCAATGCTTCAGGGGAGTTTGGCTGCAGACTGAGCTCCAGGGAGGAGCTTTGTACAGAGGTGGTGCTTTGTTCCAGCAAGAGCTTAAGCAGCTCCACAGGAGATTCAAGGATTTCTCCAACATGCATGAATGAGTCAAAGCAACACTCTGGGTATGATTTTGATGAGGAATGACATAATAAGATGATATAAAGCTGAAAAAGGTCGATTTTGCATAATAATCCCCCTTTTACCAAAAGTGACTTAACACAAACACTTATTTCTGCTTACACTGGACACATCAAGACAATAAAGACATAAAAGCATCAAAATCAATCAGATGTTCTTGTCAGATCTTTTGTCTCCTGTTCTCTGAATTGTCCAAGAATTTCAGTCTTGTGATGGAAAGTGACAGTAAAGATGTTGTGGTTTTTCCCTCTAACATCCGTGAATTGTCTGCCTCTGATTTTTATCTGTTTAAATGTGCCGTTATGTGACCATGGACACTGGCACCTGATCAAAAGTCCAGCCATTGCAGAAATGTCAGATTGGGTCAATAAAACTCTTCTGTCTGGAAGCCTGATTAAACTGTTGTCTCTCACATTTGGAGGAGATAACCTTACAAATACCGTGATAACAATTAAATGAAACATTGTTTTTGGAAAAGGAGTCCTGAAACTTTGAATTTCACGTTATGAAATCTGTCATATAACCAGACATTATTCTGATAACTTTAGCTTTCCAAAGACATAATTATGTCAATGTCAATTTTTTATATAACACATTTATAACAACAAGGCTGGGCAAAGTGCTTTTCTAGTACATCAACGAACAAATTCAACAGAATTAAACACAAAAATCACCAAAGACATTTGGTTTATACTTTTCCAATTATAATTTAGAAAAATATATACATTTATATTTAATCATCATGTCAAACCAAATCATTTTTTTATTTAGAACAGCAGATAAAACCATAAAATTGTAGCTTGATTTCTGAAAAAGCAATTTTGTTTTCTTAAAGTTGATTAGTTGTAGCGGCTGTCCATTCATCCACTGGTTACTTGTTTGAGAGTATCATTAAACTCTTTCCAGTAGTTTGTGAAATAATCTAACATGGCAGAAAAACATGCAAATAAACACACATTTAGAAGACAAAAGCTCATAAATTTAAACAGAATCTCCATTTTGCACAAGTCATGTTGTTTTGTTACCCATTTGGACATAAAAGAGCTAATAGGAACAGAAATGTCTACGAATAACTAACAAATACCACCGATACTGAAAGAAGTCCTTGTTAAAATTGTTTTAACTTGTTTACCTCTCAGCATGTGAAAAAACAGGGTTCAAAATGTCAGGTTTGTGAGAAGTCAAAAGTGAACAGGTTTGGAGCGAAACAGACTCGGGAGACCAGATACAAAAGGTAAGTGATTTTATTTACAGTGAGGGTCGGGGTGTGAACTGGAGAAGCTGCAAAGGAAGGACAGCCGGTGAGTATTTGTTTGATGGGAGAAGAGATCTTGCAATAATGATAAGGATCTATTTTCTTACAGGTCGATGAGGGAGGAGCGGCACAGAGGAGAAGGTGAGAATCCACGGAGGTGAGTTGTTTTCTTTTTATTTCCAGGTTGAGTTGATCCAAGGTGAATAGGTGAGTTCCTGAGGCGTTGGAGGCAGACAGGCAGGTGATCAGAGCTGAGGTGTTATTTCCTTTGGACGACACGGTGGGATCACGGGCAGGAGCACTAGACATAAAAAACACAGTTAGTTTCAACAAGAAGGTTTTTAAAGTAGAGCAGCCAGGACAAATACCATAAGGCATGTGTTGCTCCGGCGAGGATCAGTTCACCAGTGTCGTCTTATAAAGCCCTCAGGTGCTCATCAGAAGATCAGCTGCAGCTGCGCTGATTAATGCCTCAGCCACTCAGGAAACTGCTGGTGAAAAAACTCAAATTGCTACACAAAACAGGCCAACATTCTAATAATGTATCTTAATGATTCATAAAAACATCCTGTATTCGATTTTTTTATATCTGGCTACATTTATGATATCAAACATAGTGGGAAAATTTAGGACTTAGAATGGGAATGCAAGCAGAGTGAATGTTTGAGATGTGAAAAGAAATTAATTAGGACCAAAGTCATCAAAGTATTTTTACAAAAACTGAAGTCTAGCTACAGTTGTCTTTGAAACAGATCAAACCATGTATCAAGTGTTCAAAAAAAATTTTTTTTTTCATCAGACATCATTTAACTTTTCTTTACTGCAAAGTTTTACCAAAGAGTTACCAAGGAGTTACCACTCTGATGTTTTTTTTATTGTTTTATAAGTCCAGTCTAGTCTAGATTGTATATGCAAAGGGAGAAAGACTCAATATGTTTCCCAGTTTGGAAACAAACCTCATTATTTAAACCATTCTCTATAAAAGATTTTCCTGATGAAAACCTTCCAAGATGCAGATGGACACGAGGAGTTGGACTTTCAATAAAAACTTGAAAAGAAAGTTTGAAAACACCAGATTAACAAGATCACAAGCCATTTTAAAATTACTGGTTAAATAAAGTATTTGAGGAGGCAGAATTGGACTTGGCAGAATGCTCTCTGGTCTTGTTTTTGTTATTTGTTTTTTGGAGTCTTTTTTTTCTTAATTTTTCTACATTAATGTTCCTTTATGCAATCTGTGTTATCATTTTGAAATCTAATTGCATTTAAGAGATACTAAGATATCTTTTTAAAAGTTATTTAAAAGCTTAAAATGTCAAAAACAAAGCAAGTCGATTTCACAGATGATCTTTAATTGTAAACAGAAAAAAAAAGAAAAAGAAAACCATTTCACATGATTGGTCTACAACCACAGACCAGTTTAGTCCTCCACATCCTTCAAGCCTGGGATACCTTGACAAACTTGTGAATGTGGGAGGTGTTAAAGAGGGCTGCCTGTCAGCTGAATCAGTCAGTCTCAGTTTGAACTCACTGAAGGCAGGAGGAGCACGTTAGCCAACACTTTGAAGGACAGCGCCACATGACGGAGTGTCACATTTACTTAACAAGAAATTCCTTTCTGTGGAGTGGACGTGGATATATGAAAACGACCTCTTTGCTTCAATGTGTGTGACAAAGGAGTTTGGTGTTTTCCACTGTCAAACACGTACCAGATGACCATCCCTGTGTCAACCCTGAGTCAGAGCAAAGCTAAGGTAGGAGAGAGCTTTTGGCTAATCAGTGCAATGCCAAAGACAAATCCCACTCTAAAATATTTTTTATGCAATTTGTCATTATATGTGCGATAATCACTGCTCGATTGTGCAGTTTCTTGACTTAGAGATAAGAAAAGTTTGGGAACAATGATGTGCTGAGTGATATTTGCATCACATGGCCCTGCCTTTACCACATTCCTGTCACATCAGTAGTTTTATTAGATTAAATTAATCTGATTATGTGTCATCATTGGGCATGAAGTGAGTTCCCAGTAATATTACTAAATTACATTCTTATTTTCTGCTTTCTTTCTTTATTTGTTTTGCCTTAGGGATAATCTCCTGTCACATTTCTCGTTCAAATAATAAAAAAAAACATTGTTTACCTTTAAATTGAAGCCTTGATGACATAAGTCCTGACTTTCTCTTTTCTTTCTGCTCCAGACAATCATCTTTTTATGAAACTATAACTGGCTGAAGTGTTTTGCATTAGCTTATTACGTGTCTTTCCTGTGCAAAAGTCAAATGGCACACAGTTATATGAGAAACAGCCAGAAAACATAAGAAAAAACACATTTTCTTGTTTTCTGACTCTTAATCCATGTCAGAAGTTAAGTCGAGAAACATTTTGTTCTTTTGTTTAAATCCGGGGTCTTGCTTTGCATCTGGTTTGTATTTGTCAATAGATGAAGGCAAATGTGAAGTCGAACAAATCATGTGAAGGATTAACCCCACCACCCAAAACAATCTTTAAGTGTTAAGACCTTTTGTCTTAATGTGGAGAGCACAGGCTTGTTGCTGAGTTTTCCGTCCATCTGTAGTTTGTTTGCTCTTGAGTGAGGAGAGTGTGATGGGACAATGGAAGGACTTTGAGGAGCTAATGAATGAAGAGAATGAAAGGACATAAAGAGTATAAGTCATAAAAACTGTGAACCAGGGAGTGAGAAAACTTAGTGAGGATGAAGCTTGGAATGCCTTGAAAAGGATGAAGAGCTGGAGGGCAGTTGGACCTGATGGCGTACCAGTAGAGGTATGGAAATGCCTACAGGTGAGATGGCAGTGATTATTCAACGGCATCGAGGAGGTGTGTGCTGGTGCCCCCCCACCCCTTTTTTTTTTGAAGAACAAATATGACAAACAGAGTTGTATCAACGACATGAGGTTTAAGCTGATGAGCCACGTGATCAAGATCCAGAAGAGAGTTGTGGAAGCTAGGGTTAGACAAGAGGCGATTATAAGTGTGGTTTCATGCCAAGAAAAAAGCACCAGAGATGTCATTTGAGGATGCTGATGAAGTTGTCCAGAAAGCATCAAAAAGCATTTCATTGTGTCTTCGTGGATTTAGAAAAAAAAAGGAAATGACAGGGTGATGAGGGAGGAGCTGTTGTGCTGTATGAGGAAATCTGGAGTGGCAAGGAAGTATGTTAGACTGGTACAGGACATGTATGAGGACAGCGGGACAATGGTAAGATGTCGCAAATTGGAGGTGGGACTGCATCAAGAATCGGCTCTGAGTCACTTATTGTTTCTGGTGATGAGGTCAGGCAGGAATCCTCTTGGACTATGATATTTGCAGATGACACCGTTATCTTTGGTGAGGATGGGGAACAGGTGGAAGAGAACTTGGAGAGGTGGCAGCATGCACTTGTAAGAAGAGAAGAAAAGGTTAGCAATGAAACTTAGCAGTGGTATGAGAGAGTTTGTGTGTTTGAATTTGAGGAAAAGAAGAGTCCGGACAGGATGGAATGCATGGAGACAATTTCCGGTAGAGTTTTGTGACAAAAAGATGGCAGCAAAGGCCAAAAGAGAGGTTTACAAGAAAGTAGTGAGGTGTTGTAGGGTTTGGAGGCAGAGACATTGACAAAAAGGCAGGAGACAGAATTGGAAGTGTCAGAATTAAAGATGCTTAGGTTATCTTTGGGAGTGAATGAGATCATCAGAGGTACAGCACACATATGTCAACTTGTACAGATTGTCTGTAAGTTATAAGGATTTTACGTCATTTTGCAAGTATAGAGCAATCTCACGGATTTTTTCCAAGTCTTACGGATTTTTTCAAAACCTCATTTTCAAATTTATCTAACATGTCAGAGCCTGTAGGATGATTTCAAAAATAAATAGCATCAAACAGCCATCTTCCAACCTGTTCTGCTGCTAGAAATAAGTTTTGAACTTTTCCCGCTCTCCTTTCCTCCTGCTTCGCAGCGATCACCTTCATGTCCGCAGCTGACAGGACCCCCCCCCCCCACACACACACACACACACACACCCACAGGTGCGAGTTGTACGGGTTTTTTTGCAAAATTTACAGATTTTTGAGGCTCTTTATACAGGTAAACGTCCAAAAAAGGTTTACATGTATGAGCACAGGTCAGGGAAATAAAGTTCGAGGCCACAATGAAATGAAGGATGACTCACTGTGGTGACCCCTGAAGATGGACTAGCCAAAGAAAAAGGGGATGTTGCCTTAAGGTGCTTGGTAGCAGGCATCAGAAGATAAAAGAGGAGTCTACCTTTTGAATTCTGTAGCCTAAAAAGAAAGAAAAAACTCAAATTTATCTCAAATTTGACACACTCAAGCATTGTCTATCTTTATAATCTATTCAAATTTCACTTAAATCATTGTCATTTCACACAGTTCACAGGCTCAGTGGTTAGTGCTGATGCCTCACAGTAAGAAGGTCCTGGGTTCAATCCCTGTTTGGACCTGGAGTCTTTCTGTGAGGAGTTTGCATGTTCTCCTCATGCTTGTGTGGGTTCTCGCTGGAAACTCCAGTTTCTCACACGCCCCAAAAACCTGTATGGTTTGCCTTCAGGCCCAGGCTTCCCTTGAAAAAGAGGTCTGCGATATCGATGGGATTTGCCTGGTTTAACAACAGCAAAATAATAAGTGTAAAGTTTTTATTTATACTTTTACTGCAGCTTCTCTTAAATGCTTCAAGAATTTGAGAAGAAATGCAAGTATAGGTAACAATCCAGTTGTGGAATTGCACCACATTTTGGTAGCATTTCCATCAGAGAATTTATTTATTTATTTATTTATTTATTTATTTATTTATTTATTTATTTATTTATTTATTTTGTTTTCCACAAAAAAATCTTATCTGGCTCTGGAAGGTGCCACAGAAAAAGAGAGCCCATTATATTTTATTTACTTATGGCTGAGATACTATGAAGACTGTAATTTGATAGTATTGTTAGTGTTTTCTACTATGCTTGAGTCAAAAAAAGGCATTTTAATCTGGTTTTTCGTTGGCGTGATTTGTGTTTGTGTCAGTTGCAGGTAAAGTGTCTGTGTGTGCTTATGTTCCTGAGCTTCCCCCAGGCAATGACTGAGATCCCTGGTCCATGCAGACACTCAATTACTAGGGACCACCTGCTGACGGTTCGGCAGCTGGTAGGTGTTAAAGCAAGATCAAAATGATCGGATGAAATATTCCCAGGATGAGATCTTCCTGCTGTTGTTTCTTCAGATGGATAACCAGTTGAGGAGCGGATGTTCAATTACGTACACATTCATAGAACGGAGAACGTTGGTAAGGCAGCTCTTGTTGGAGGGGATGGTTTATCACCTGCTGTGTATGTTTGTGTGTATGCATTTGTTATACTATTGGCCAATTATCTTATGAACCACTTGGTAGACTGTAATGAAACTCTCATTGGATGTACATCTAAAACCTACAACTATTTGGAATCAAACTAATTAAAAACAGCTGGTGAAGTAAGCTGACCGTAGACAACATAAAAAGACCATAAGTTTGACAGATATTGAGCAAAAAATGGATGTCCTCTACTCAGAACACTACCAGCTCAGGCAGAATCTCACACGAGATTTATGGACATCATTTAGAAGGTTTAACCTAAGTGGCTACTCTTCTCATGTCTCAGCTTAAGATATTAGCCTTCATGAAAGGTGATCGATTCTTAATTCTAGGAATTTGATTAGTTCTAGGAAAGTTTCATTTGAAGTATGTTAACGGTTTACTTCCTCCACAGAGCAAATGTTGTTTTGTGAAAGCTGCATTACCTTGGATATTGGAGCTGCTCACTACCCACTTCAAGTACAGCCGGGGTTCAGTAAATGATGGCTATGTTCAGACCCTGAGAAGAGTCATTCTTAACATTTATTCTCAGAGGTGTGTGCCTGAGATCAATGAAGAGGTTGAGGTGAGTTGTGGGAAAGAACTTGCCTTTTGAAAACATTTCAAATTGGAATTTGTTAGGTGAGAAATCCTCCCGGGATCTGTTTGCAGGATAAGCCTGAGAGTTTTGAAATGGTCCACCGTGGGTCTCCTTTAGACGCCCTGCGGAAAGTTTCAGAGGTGCTGACTGTTTACTGGGAGCTGGCGGCCACCTGTGACTCGCCAGTCGACTGGAGATGCCAGGACGAATACTCAGAAACCTTCAGCTCCCCAACGGAGGAGCTCCCCGTAGAGTCCACCTCACAGTATTTTACAGGTGTGTAATCTAATCTTTTAGGAATGCTGTGCGATGGATGAGAAATGCAGATGTCTGAGATCACAGAGCATGTGGGATTTTCTTCAGACAGTTATGAAAGGAACTCGGCAAAGGCCTCGCAGAGAAGACCGAGCAAAGACCTGTACAGGCTTGGCTTCATCATTACGTCCATCTGCGGAGGACTGCTAATTATATTTACACTCTACTGTCTCATCATAAACAAGGTACGAATCAGCAATCACACACGTTCTAATGACATTTATACCATGCATTCTGGTCATATTGTAATAAAACGGGCCTTGGCAGAAAGGCGAGAAGCTCTGAATTCTTCAGACGTCATAACAAAACAAGGTGGAAGCCGGCTTTATTCTTCACCATTACATAAAAAAAGTACTAAAACAAACAAGTGTGTTTATGTTCTTATTCCTTTATTAAGCAGTTTTGCTATTATTTGAACTGCCAAAAAAGTGTAGAGCTCATTGTGAGCAGTGGTTTTCTTCTGGCTGGTGCACACTCCACATTAAATTTTAGTCACGCAGCCTAAATTAATGAGCCTAACACTGTGAGCTCAACTTTCACTTCTTTCACAATCACTCCTGTGGGACAGAAATAATAAGAAAACGATCATAAAACAATAATATATATTCCTCTCTTAACAGCTACAAAACATACTTGGTCACACAGCACAAGCCTAGTTGCTGTTTAAAGTAGCTAAATAGTTGGAATGAGAGCAACTGTTCTGTGTTTGTCTTGAATGTCAGACATTTAACCCTGATAGGAGAAGTTTAATGTTTTGTGTATGATCCAGATATTTCCTATTTGCCTGGGATCACTGGACTAGTTCAGCTAAGTTAATAGACAATTATGCCAAATTCTGGGCCTGTCTTATCTCTGAGCAGTGCAGTAGTATTCTTTTAGGGATCTAACTGTTACATGTTGTGCTGGAAATACAGGGACTAAAGTTAGCTTGTTATGAGGTAGAAATATGTGGAAATATTTATTAGACCAAGGAAATCAAATTTTAAAACCACTTCCATCTCCCAGCCTGATGGGGGCTGGTTTACTTTTTGCCCTGTCTGAGTTCCTGCATTCCCCACAAGGTTCTTTTAAAAGAGAAAAACAGTTGTTTGAAAGGCAAAAAAGTAGGATGATACTGTTTTTTTGCCTTGTAAGTGTGTGCATATTTGTGTTTGTGTGTCTGTTATTGAAATATCTTGTGGACCACGAGACAGATTTTATTAAAAAATTTGAAATAATTGTCAGACATGCTTCTACAACCAATTAATTTTGGAGCCAAACCAATTTCAGATGAACTGAATTGGTTTGAGTCCGTACGTCTGCCATTCTGTCATTTGTTGTTACAGAAAATACAGCTTCAGATCAAATGGCAGAGAGGCTTAGTTTTGTCAAGTTGAAGCACAAGCTAGTAAGAAGTGATGATGAACAGCAGAAATGTAAATGTCTCCCTAACGTTTCCCTGAAGCTTTATGTCATCTTGACTGGCTGCATGGTTTACATGTGTGGTTCTTTCTTTAGATGCAGTCTTTTCAATAAGTATATTTGTATCAGTTCACTATAGTTAAAGCAAAGATGTATGTGATACTCATATCAATATGGTGGTTAGAAGACCTGTTGAGAGCAGTTTGAAAGAAGAAAAACAAACCTACAGTGGCTGATAGGACTCTGCAACCTATGAGTTTATATTAAAGAAGACAGACGTACTGCTTTAAATATGTTGACAGATTTTCCTCCTTCCCATCATCTGCGTATAGTTACCAGTCCCAAAAAACAAGGGGAAAAGCAGGAAGCAAATGGTTTTGTTTAAGTAGCGTTGCCTTCAGAATCCTTTAAGTTCATGGATTATTTTTGGACACATTTTTGTTCCTCACACTGTTGCAATTAGCTAAATTTAGAGGGCTTTGTTACACAGAAAAGTGCTCATTAAAGCATGTTTTGTGTATTTTAGTCTTAGAGGACACACTATTTGCTAAATTAGAGATAAATGTGTTCTTAGCTGACAGACAGTGACATGTTCTGAACTTAACTGAAGTAGGAAGTTTAAGGTATTGATGTACTTGTTCAGCTAATTTAATTTGTGCAGGAATCAGTCAGTGCTGATTAAGTTTGAAAGGAGGCCTTTGATCTAATTTATGCCAAATTACTCTTAAAGCTCAGAATGTCTTTTGTTGACTGTTGTAGCCAACAAATAGCATGCTAAACTTCTTTTCAAGAACATTTCTCCAAACCAGAGTTTTTAGTAAATAACTTGCAACATTGAAACACTTAAACACAATAAATAAACGCATGCAAAGAAGTCATTGGTTTTGCGCTTCTGCTTTTTTCTCCATTCTTTATTTCTGTTGGGAACTTTTAAACGATTCTGCATTTTGACTGACCTTTTGACCACTGTGGGACTTTTTGTTTCTAAGACTTGGCTTACACCAAATGACTGTGGAGAAAGCAGGAAAAGATTTTATCACTGGGGTCATCTTTAATGTCAGTGAAACAATGAACACATCATTCAAAATCAATGCTGCCTTTCCAAAGAAACCAAAAATCATAACTACCGCAAACAAAGAGAAAATACCTCCAACTAATGGGATTATGCTGAAAACAGCAGCTGCAAAAGCAACATTTACTGCTAAACGTTAGCCAAAAGTAACAGAACAGTAGTAAAACTAAAATAAAAATGGAGGAATTGGAAAAAATAATTCAATGCATTATGGGAAAATATTTGTAAATAAATGTAACTTATTGAAAAGTATAAAAGTTACAAAGCCCATGAACATTTGTGCGAATAGCTAAAATAGCCCAAAGCATGCAAAAAAAGATTGGGGAAAAAAACCTGCACCAAAAATAAAAACAAGAAAAAAAAAAACAAATATGTTTGTATTTCTTAAGGAATCAAAATCATCTTATAATGAAAATGGACTGAGTAACAGCTGATTTAAAGTGCTAAAATGAAGTTTTGCACAATCTTGATTGATTTTGAGAGATCTTTCAAAATCTGTATAGTGCTTGTGTGTTGGAGATGACTCAAAGCTACTACCTCATTAAATTTTAGGTCAGCATCTGCAAAACTGAGTTCTAGTCATTTTACTACAATAAATTAGTTGTGGCAGACATCCAGGGACAGAACTAACCTTTTTTGCAAGGGATGGCACAGGGGCTGCATGTTGTTTAGAGGGGCACATACAGTTAAATAAAACTACTCTGGATTTGAAAATTTGACAGAGTCACATAGCTATAATTCAGCTGTTTAAAGAGATGCTGAGCTTAAACTGTTTTTATGCCAATTGCTAATCCCAGTTAACAGTTAGTTGATGAATCCCAGCTAACTACTAATGCTGATACAAATTTTACAAAGGGCTATAAGCAATTTTTAAATGTACACAGCTAAAAAATAGTGTAGTATCAGCAACGATAATTACCTTAATCTGAATGCAAATACAAAATCCAAGATGGTGAAATTTTGAATGGCTATAACTCTTTAGAAATTTCGAGCTAAAATTAGGTGTTGTGGTAGCCGAAAGCAATCCCCAGAACATTCTAAAAGCTAACCTCAATTGTAAGCTACGGGCTAATGCTAATTTAAAGAAGAGATATATTTCAGTCCATTTTAGACATATAAAGCTGAAAATTATAATAGTATAGCCAACATCTTCAACATGTTCTAACTGCAAATCAAAATATCAAGATAGCCACCTAACATAAAAATGAAAAATTACTGAAAATCAAAAATTATTAGAGATATTTAGCTGAAATTAAGCGTGGTGGAGAATGATGCCCAACACATTCTAAATTCAAATAAAAATCAAAGATGGTCACCAAAGCAAATTTCTATTTAAAATTTAGCTATAAATGAGCTTGTTTATTTTAACCATATTGAGTTTAAATTTGGTGTGACGGGAGCTGCGGTCACTAACATGTAGTAAAGTTAAATCAAATGACGGCCACGTGGCAATCTCCATCAAAGTTTCTTAAGCCGGGTACACACGGATGCGTTTTGAGCAGCCTAAGCAGCCAGTTTACACGTAATGTCTATGATGAACGTGTGTCTAGGGGCAGCGCGGCGCATTTAGCATGTTTAGTGTGGCGCGCAAGGTTGCGTTAGGTGCGGTAGAGCGTTTTCCGTGCATACGGCTTGTCAAAGCAGCCGACGCTCGAGTTAAAAAAATTTAACTTTTGCTGCTCGACGCGCTGCGTAAACCAATCAGAGAGAATAATTTTTCCATGTGACGGTTTTCTGAATGTTGTCCACTGACTTGAAACAGACGGCCAGGAGCTCTTTAGCTGAAATCGACCGCCTACAGTCGGTGTTCTGGCTGGACATATCAGCACCATGTGGGTCAGAGTCTTGTTAAACTGACCACTGTGTTAAACTGGGCTCAGGACAGAAAAATAGTTTGTCAGCTCCATAGACTTAAATATAAAGATCACTAGACTGCGCCCCGCCCACACTGTAGTGTCTGTGACAGCATGGAGGAGCAAAAATGGTGTCTAAAAGGCCAACAGCTCATAGAAACTAATGGATAAAAGCAAGCTGAACCGGATCTGTTTCACAGATTATTGGTCATGTTTTAACAATAATTAATAATTATGTTAATTTCATTCAACAATCATGTAAAACAGCAGATTTATACCAGAAAAATATATCATTTATAAGTTACAATGATCTAAACCAGATCTGAAGTCAGCCTGTAACTTAGACTGTAGCTTGTTGAAAAATGATGACTTCAGCTAGTAATAAAGTATATTTATTATTTCTTCTTACTGTCATAAAAAATAAAAATATTCATATTTACCAGTCAACAGTTAGAAAATGTTCTCTGGTTATAAGATGAAACTTGTCTCTATTAGCTAATCATCTTCTCAACATGTCAGGTTCCTCTAACAGAAACCTAAAAATACTCACATTTATAATATTATTTTACACTCTGTAGGTCTAAATATTAATAAGAGGACAAATCAGCTGTAATATTTAATAGTTTGTGTTAAATTGTAGCATGATTCAACAGTGCTACACTCTGTATATATGCTCCACATGCTAATATCAGCTAACCAGTTCAACAAATAACAGTGATTACATCGACTTTATAAGATTAATTTAATTTTAAACTGTTACATTATGTTCTGCTCAGATCACACTGAGCTAAATAAGATCAAATCTGCTGACTTGTTTAGTGAAATGAGATTTTTCTGTTGATAAATCCATGACACAAAC